ACAAAAGAAAACACAGAAATGATATGTAACAATACTGTGTAGGCAGGGAAGTTTTGTGGGATATGTTATTCAGGAAGTCAGGCAAGTGATCACAGTTCTCTCCTTAGCCTTAATATTTCTATTTCCTAAGCGTTTAGGCTGTTTTCTTCTGGTTTATTTATTCTGAAAAAAATACTGACTATGTACATAGAAAGGAGCACTACCCACAGATAAAAAGGGCAATTTATATACCAGTTGGGACACCTTTGTAGCATTTGATATGGGATTCAAGATGAAACCACTGTGTTGGACAGGTATAATGGAAAAATAGAGCCACCTTTTTGACTAAGAAGACAAATTCTGGTTAGGAACCAACATGTACTTACAAAAACTTGATGTCTCCAATAGGTTGGTCTGGTGCTTTCCACACAAAGGACAAGTTTCTTTTCAGGGATTTGTCGGAGTGGGTGACAGTATCACCATCTTCAAAACAAGTCAGCAATTTGGAACCAGGAGGAATAAAAACAAATGTGCCAGCAATTTCATCATTAGACACCTTGCGAGCTTGAAGCAAAAAGCCCATAAAATCCCGGCTACTCCTCACGGTCACTACAAGACAAAATATGTCATTTGAAGGGATTTTTTGTCATAGATTAATTGTTTGCAGTGAAAAATTCCTTGGTACTACCAAAACCAGAAGAAAACCCCATGTAAAAAAAAAAAATCTATCTTTGTCCTTACAGTCCTTCTTGGATATGCTAGACGCAGGAGGCAAGTACACAGATGACCTGCTTGAGTCTTTTTCTGCCCTCCTTGATTATAAGCTGCTAAGCGGACTGTGTTTTACAGCATGCAGCCATTTTAAAGAAGGAGGCTTGAGCACCACGCTGCCTGTATGCAAAAGATTGTACGGCGTCCTTGAGAGGAACAAGTTTAAGTAGGAGAGAGCGGGCAAGTGGCCAGACTAGAGAAAGGTAGATCTCAGATCTGTCTGCTTCCTCCTCGGGTGCAGCCATGCTGGGGAGGAGTCATCCTGCCCACCCTGCTGAGGAGTCAAGGTCGTCACTTAGACACTTCCGCGCACTGTGAAGAGAGCTGGCCACTGATGGGGGCAACTCATGCTGTCTTTGGACAGGTGTGGGACAAGGTTGCTTACCTTCCGGGGGTGCTTCTCACACGCCAGTGCATGTGGTGAGTTCCTGTGTGACTGAGACGTGATGAGGTGAGTGAAGCCTACCCAAAGCATCTAAACCTATCATCAGCCGCACACATTTGGCCTGCAATGTGGTGAACACCTGGAGTCAGACATCATCTGGGAAAACTTAGACAAAGAACTTGCAGGCGGATTGTGATCCTTTCAGCCTTTCCAGTTGCTGACAAAAATGCCCATCCTATCCTCATCTAACAGGTGAAGAATCTCTCTAATTACATTCATTTCCATGTGGTGAGAAATAGGATATAGCTTTCACAGAGCAGTGCCATGTGAAAGCTACCCTCTTCCCATCCCTCAGAGAGATTAACGTCATCACCAGAGATTAGTTATTGTGTGTTTCTTAGATGCATTCATCTGTTCTTTAAATGCATTTCATCTTAAATAACTGCTCCTTCGAGCACAGACCAGAAAACTTCGTTGCTCAGTACACAGGATTTAGAGTCAAGGCTGAATGTGATTTGAATATCTGTCAACAAAACTGCAACAAGGTAGAACTAGTAACTAACTGATTTAAGACTTTTTCCCTGACTGCGCTAGGACATAAAATTAGTTGTCGTTCCTTACCTGGTACCTTGTCACCTGGGAAGAAGGACATATTGGTATGGATAGTGACGTAGTTGTTCCTGGGACTGTGCAGCTGAGCTCTCATGTGCTGGGGCATCATGTCAGTACAGGCAGAGGGACTCGCTCCGTGAGAGAATGCGGCCGCATATGAAACCAAGCACAGCGTTGTGCATGCCCATCCAATGACAACTACGTGGACTTTCCTCCCATCCTCCATCTTACATCAGTAAAGCAACAGGCGAGTTAACTTCAAAGCAGTGACTTCTGGCAACTGCAGTCCACAGGTGTGTCTGTCACCTTTGAATTAACTGAGCTCCACAACAGCCTTTCCCACAGCCTTGGAATGAAGGACAATAAATGATCTCTGTGGCACATGGAGCCTCTCTGGCAATCCATAAATTTCACATTTTGAACTAAATTGTTGAGGTTGAGGGGGAGAGACCCCACAGGAGAATGCATTTCTTGTGAAGTCATCTGTTGAGTGAATAGCTGAGACACATTTGCTGTAAACATTCTTGTCATGTTTAGCGGGAGGAGAAGGAGTACTGATGCGCTCACAGGTCGGCCCCGCACTCTCTACCATTCCCTGCCCACGTATACAACTTGCTCAGTGGGGAGAGCAGAGGGAAATACCTGTCCCTTCCATGTGCAGAGCCGTGCTGCAAGGTCTGTGCTGCGGCAGAGCCTCTCAGTGCTGGCGGGCCGGCAGGGACAGCGCAGCGCCGTGTCCCACCGCTCACGCGCGTGCGGGAGAGCCCCCCTCTGCCCCTGGCTGCGACCTGCGTGAGCGCAGAGCGGCTTCCAGCAGCCAGAGTTTCACGTCCTGGAGACTTGCTCTGCCTGCTGCCGCCAGCATGTCTGTGCTAACTATTCCACCCGTATTTGACATTCCAGCAGCATTTTGGTTTGTCCTTCTCTGTCAAAATTCTGTGTTGATTATGAGACATCAGAGATACTATCTTTGAAACTAGCACTAGAAGCCTAAGATAAACACACAGCCATTTTGGCTAATGCTAAAATTTCTTATTATTATCAAATATTTAATCTGTGCAAGCATTTTTGTGACATTACAGAAGTTTAATAATTCCTACATGACAGGCCTTTAGTATCTCTCAGATTTGGTGGCTGGCACAAAACATTTGCAGATTGGATGGATGGATTGGATTTTATTATTCCTGTTTTTCAGTACACATTTGAAAGCAAAGATAAAGAATGATTGCAGAGTAGTTATTGTGAGTGGTAATGTGAATTCTAGAGCAGGTTGTGCAGCTTTTAATGTAGATCCTTCTAAAACCTTCTCAGTGTGCAAGTTTTCCTGGCTTAGGTTACCTTACACTCAGTCAGTAAGTAGATGTAAATAAATCAAAAGAAATTAGACTGAGGAGGTCGAGCTTGCACGTCCATTTATATCACTGCTAAAACTTGCCAGCTGACTCTCAAAAACTGCCACTGCACATAAAACTCTGTTCCCAGCCTTAAGCAGGGAGCAGATGGATGTAGTTTAACTACCTACTGTGCAGCTTATCAGCTGCGTGCCAGAGATGCCTGTGGGATTCAGAGGAGCCGTCCCAAATATTCCAGCCACCGCAGCAGTATAGGTGGGATGCCCTCATCCTCGTGGAGTCAGCCTACCCCCCTGGTTACACCTCCGTCTCCCTAGCTGGATGTGATTTCTCTCAGGAGCTCATAGCAGTACCTCTGAGCAGCCCTTCTTTTCCCCCAAAGTTGCTCAGTGCCATCAGTGCCCCCGGCTCTCCCCCAGCCCGGCCCGCGGTGCTGCCGGGCAGGCGGTGAGGGCTCAGCCCGGGCCAGGCCGGGCCGTGCGGCCGCCTTACCTCGTGCCCACGCTCTGCCGCCGTCCCGCTGCCCGCAGCCTGCCGGGGACGCGTCCTGCCGGCAAAGCTCTCCTCTCCCTCCTCTAATGAGAAGTGCAGCAGCTGTTACTGCTAATGCTCCGGACTGCAGGAACTCTCTGTCAATGCCCCACTCCAGCCTTAATCGTATTAGTTTTTGTCTTATATCCCACCCACCCCTTTTATTATCTCCAAGCTTACGCAATGAAAATGAAGGCAACTAGCAAGGTTGGAGGCAGCACCAAGCCATGGGTTTTGTATGGGGTATCCTGAAATTCCTTTACATCAGTGCAGCAGGAGAGGACTTCTTGTGCCCTCCATCCTCCCCTCATTCCCTCCCCTACATCCCCTTACGTAATAGCAGGTTTTCAAAACAAAGCCAAGCCCCTTCCCTGTGACAGTCTGTGACACCCTCTGATCTGAATGTCTTATCGCTCCTGTTTACCTGGGAGTTATTTGACAGTAAAAGCAAAATTCTGCTAGAAATCATTGGACTGTGCATCGTGCAGCGGCCCAGCCAGGAGTAACCGTTAACATCCTGCAAACCCACCGGAGCCAGGAAACCCTGCAGAAAGCTGCCGCCCTGTCCTTACTTCACCCTTTTGTCCTCAGGTCACTGATAAGAACAATGGCTACTTGCTTAGCCAAAAACCTGGAAAACAGACACAGCTGTATGTGTGCTGTGCACGGACGTGTGTTAGCATCTGTTCTGTATGCCAGCAGGAAATCAATGTGTTAATAAAATAACTGTTTTGTTGCCTGCCAGTGTCGCATGTCACAAATTCAGGGAGGGCATCTAATTCTAACTCCTGGTGTGTCGCTGTGTCTTGGGCAAATAGATGGAGTGGAACCACTGGAGCTGGGGATTAGCAAAGCTTTCTCAAGAAGAGGACAAGGGACAACAATGTTTAAGGACAGTGTCTCTGGGCTGCTTTGGGCGCTCTCAGGCATCTCCGTGACCAAGAGTGGCCGGATATATTTGCTAGGCTGGAAAATTCAGAGCTTTTTACAGACATAGCTTCATCCACTGCTGCTCATGCCACTGCCAGACTAGATGCTGCAAGGAACTTGCCTGGGGCTTCTCCCAGAAACTGAAGGCAGACTTGCAGAATCCCCCTCTATTAGCAGTGTTCTCACTTATCTTCCCTAACCCACAGGCTGTGTCCACAAGCAAAACAAGGTGCTGGTTGGCTTCAAGATATTACCCCTGGCAGCCCATGTTTCATTTGTATAACTGTTTCAAAAGTATGGAAGCTGGTGGCAGAGATCTGCTGTCAATGGACCTCTCTTCTCTGTATCTCAGGGAGGACTTACATCCACTGAATTCCAAGACAGAAAGCTCTTCCTTGCATGCCCTCCCTCCCTCTTTCACTTTTTCTTTCTTTTGCTTTCTCTTCATTTTTCTTTCTTTCTTTCCTTACAGAGAGTCTTAGTTGTAGCAGTTGCAGGAGGGGCAGGGAAGAAAAGGAATAGTTTACATTATTGCTTCTATTCTAGTCTGCCATTATCGATATTTTATGCATAAAAAAGGAGTACATTCAAATAATGCTATATTAATGAGTAATCCTTTCTTGAAACCAGGCTTCTGTGACTATTCCTTAACTTATTCCTATGTTAAACTTTCTTTGCTTTTAATTCCAGTGTAATGCAGAAGCAGTGCCAGACCCCCTGACAGTCTGTAGGGGAAACATGTGAACCCACCAAACCTGTTGCAGCCATTCTGTTACAGAGCGACAAGATCTGAAAATAATATTCCAGGTGAGTGTCTGTCTCTGAATCACAGCATGATGGTAGAGCACTGCATCGTCTTCTTCAGTTGCTGCTGTGCACTGAGCAAAAGTTTTCATTGGGCAATTTCCAGTAAGGGAAATTTCTCCAGTGGCTTCCACCTGCGGGGAGAATCAGCACAAGGGGAGCACAGGGGGAACCCAAAGCAGCAGTGTCAAGTGTTCACCTATAGAGCTACTGCTTGAGGTCAGCACTCTGCATCATGAGGCCGTGCCTCCAGTGCACAGATACAGGGAGAAAGCAGAAGAGCTTCCAGCTAATTTGATCCGGAACCAACCCAGCTGTGACAGTGTAGGATGTAGCACAACACAAACATTGCTCTGCTGGCTTCTGCAGCTGGAGCTAACTGGAGCTAACGGCAGCACGTTGCCAGGCAGGTATTATAGCAGCTAGACCAACTTTGTTCCAGATTAGCTCTGGGATCTGCACAGTGCTGCATGGACACAGCCCTAATTGCTGGGCTGATTTGAAATACAGTCTTATGCAGAGTTCATCCTCAATGTCTGCTCTTAAGCCAAGATCTTAGTGGTTTCAAAGCTGCAGCCAAACCAAATGTTACAATCATCTTCCACTTACAGATGGAAAAATCCTGTCACAGTCATTACTATGACATGAGCACCTATCAGCAGCCTTGAACTACAAGTTCTAATGCCAGATGACAGGCATATGTTTCCAGTAAGAAATACAGTCCTCTCCATAGCCTTTGGTTGCATTACCCAACAGGACAGCATTGCCTCAGCCTTTTCTGGACAGAGCTTTGACCTACTGGAGTCATTTGAGCTCAGCCAGGCTCTGCATATCACTCTGACAATGGGGCCCAGACACAGACAAGAAAAGATCACATGTCATTGCTGTCACTAGAGAGAGAGTTTGGGCTTTTTTTCTGACATAAATTTCTGTGTGCACAGGAAGCTGGCATGGAGAAGGGGATATAAGACAACTTAAATTCTGCTAATTGTTTTCTTGGCAGTGTTTGTGTAGCAGATTTCTTGAAGAGAACAAACCCTCAGCTGGGATTTTAAAAAAGTATTAGTGAAAATAGTACATGCTCTGTAGTAGCTTGATAACAGAGATAATTTGTAAAGCATGTTACTTGAAATTTCATTAATCTGGTGCCTGGGAAGATTGCAAACCAGTAATATTCCAGGCTCCTCGATGCAGAAACTTTCTCCTCCTTACAGGCTGCTTCCACATCTCAACACACCAGGTGTGCTGCAGCTGCAGTAGAGAAGAGTGTATAAAGCAGGCATAGATGTAAGCAACGCAGTGCTGTCAAACAACAGTAAGTTGGTTGCTTCACTTACAGCTTGAGAAATACTTTGATACTGCACCATGGGTTATAACCAGTAAGCAGTTCTTCCTTGGTGAGCCAGTAGCCACTTCACTCCTTGAAATAATGTTTTGGGGTTAGAGACAAGACAAGCAGGCGTATTGATCAACAAGTACAGAGGTTGGAGGTGGCCTCATGAGCCTCATTCACTCAAAAATTCAGCCCCCAAATCCTTTTATTTGGTACCATAACCTGCACAGGTCAGGGAAGGCTTACTCCTGTCCGTTTTCTCTGCCTCAGAGAACCAGTTTGGCACAGGCACTTCAGACTACAAAACTACTGGCTCTGCAGTTGATTTGCTTGCAGAAAGGACAGTGAGCTGGA